GGGGGGGGGGGGGCACCGGCAACAGTCCTCACCCGCCCACTCAAGCCAAATGGGAGAAGCAACAAGCAACCAGGGCCGTGATCACTCTTGTTTTTGATCCTCATGCGTGCTTTCTTTTCTCGGTTCACCTGCACCCAGACAAGTAGGCAGCAGTAGCGACGCCTCTCACGAACAAGAAACATCGCTAGTACCGTGACGATCAGACACAAGGACCACCACCACAACAACAACAGCAACAACAACAACATGCCACTTTGCTTGTTTTTGCTTGCGCGCGCCCCCTCCCCGCCTCTCGACGCAGAAAAAACAAAAATAACACATCCGCCGCGGCAATCGTCACCACCACCACCACCAATGGAACACAAAAAAAAAAGGGACACAAAAACAAAAACAATTGAAAAAAAACAAAAGTAACAAAAAACAAATACTGCCGGCTCACCCGCCATCCTTCGTGACGGATCGTCATCACCACTCCCCTCTTCTCCTAGCTCCTGCAGGGACGGCAGCAAGGTGAAGGCGTGCTGGAAGCGGAAGGTCGGCAGCCTCCACACCCGGGAAAAGTCTCTGCTGGACCCCACGAGACGCGAGATTGGCTCGTCCACCGGTATGGCCTGACGTCAGGTTTCACGCAAACAGCAGGTGTTCCGGGCGAGTTTTTTTCTTTTCTTGATCAGCGCTCCAGCATTTCTGTTTTTTTTATTCTTTTTTTTTGTATACTGTACAAGCGCTCACAGCATTTCTGCCGGGTAGGAGGTCCAATCCGTGGTCACACAGGCGAGGCGTTTCATGTTTATTTTTTGGTCTTTACTTCAAATCCGTGCGTCATTGTGTATCGCCTAAAAAGACGACTACTGCCCGATAAGCGCGCGGGCGGTACAAGAAGGAACGCCTTCCTGTGTTTGTTATGCAGCTACACACTTCGCAGGAAACGTTGCTCCCTCACCAAGCGGCGATTGAAGTGTACGATGTCCTACTGACGCCGCCACTATCGCCGTTGATTGTTGCTGCTGCTACTACAGCAGCCGCTGCTGCTACTGCTGCTGTTGGTGTTGTCTTCGCACAGCAGCGCAAACCTGTATTTATTCTTTGGTCGCGCGTGCCAGGACTGCTGTTTCTTGGTCAGCTTGAATTTTTTGTCCAGCTTCGTTTCTCGTCGGTGAGCATGCGAGCCCGCGGATGTTCATTTTTTTCACAAGAGAGCATTTTTGTGACAACCGGGCGACCCTCGTTGATTGTATGTGTGTTGTCTAGAAGTACCATGATAAACAACCACAGAAAACACGATGACCTACAATACCACCCCGGCAACGATCGTTCTTGACGCCGTTTTCGCATGGGTCGGGGAAGGGGGGGGGGGGGCGTTCACAGCCAAACGACAACGTTTTACTTCATACTGAGTTGCAGGTATTGCATATGACGGGAAAGGGCATGCATTTTCATATTAATGGCGACCGTCACTCTCAAACCCGCCCAAAATCGTGCTCCACGGACCTGATGCAGTCCGACTGTCAAAATTTTACCCAAAAAAATATTCCGCTCGTAGTTCCAGCTGCCCGTACCGTACCGACAACAAGAACCTTCATCTCGGTAGCATGCGAGCACGCTTCACGACCTATCGGCAGCACGCAAGCACGTGTGCTGTGAATTCTAAACCAACTTTGAGCTGCACTGCAGGGCGTCGCCGCATGCGTGCACGCATACACACACACACCTCGTTGGCCGCCGGTCGGTAGTCCCAGAGGGCATCATCGGGGATGACCTGGAAACGAAACGCACAAGGTCGAGTGGTTGGAACAGATACATGTTGCGGTAAGAACGTATTGTGTGCGTTAACAACGAGTATTATACCTGTGTGTGCGTTAACAACGAGTATTATACCTTTGTGTGTGCGTTAACAACCAAGACCTGCGACGTTGAAAAAGCACACCACCCGTGCATCCCTCGAAATAAGAAGAAGAAATGGGCCCTGTGGTCGCCTTCCTCCTGTCTGTGCGACCCCTGTCCAAAAGTCAAAATATGTGGAATGGTGTGTAGACTCGTGCCAGAGTAAATGGGACGAAATCACACAAAGCACACACACGCCGATGCGTTCATGAAATGGTCATACCCCTCGGGTGCTTGTAGAGGGCGGATGCACGGCAACGGCAACAGCAACAAAGTCAGCCAAAAAAACAGGTGTCGAGTGACTGAACAAATGACACCAGCGTATGACTTCGTGCAGCAATATCTTACTGGGCACATCAGAAAGAGAGAACATACTCCTTGCGCCTTTTTCCCTTCTATTTTTCTCACGGAAAAAAAAACAATATTCATCTCGTGAGTGTCCCGCCTAGGGTGCCTTCACCTAGCCCCAAGCCTCCACCCACCACCGAGCATTTTTTAGCGTACTAAGGATTATTTACATTTCTTCCCAGAAACAAAATATGTGGGGGGGGGGGGGGTACCGCGAACCGAAAATAACCCCCTCGGCAAGAAGAACAAAAAGAGTGGGAAAAGCGATGCAAGAACAAAAACATGGTACCGAACACTAACAAAAAACTGGTGCAACTCAGAAAAAAAAAAAAATTACCACAGGCTAAGAAGGTGAGAGATGTTGCGTTCATCTACTGCTGTTGCGGGTGTGTTTTAACCCAACTTTGGTATAAGGGGTTGCCACACCAACACAAACACTGAGTGGTCGGGAGGTCACGAGCGCCCACCCCCGCGCGTAGCTATCGACCTCTTCTGCTCGCAACAAGCGGAACTGATGCTTGACAGGCCTACCTGCATGTGCTTGTGCCTCTGGCTAGCCCCCGCGTCCACCGCCGAGTTGTAGAAACCAACGCCAGGGAGTTCTTCCACCACCCGGTACCAGGCGCCAAAATCTTGAAAAAAAAAAAAAAAGTGAACGGACGGAGGGAACCAATTAATTGATGGCAATACATGTACATACCGCGTTGTTGCTTTCTCACAAAAATCTCATAGGATCCGAATGGATGTAAAGGGTGCGGTAAACGATTGTTTCAAGCAGTGTGTCGACGGTTTACGTACGGCGACACCAACAGGGGGGGGGGCGTACTCATTTGTTGCTTGCCGTAGTCATTTGACCATTGACCACGCGTCCCTTTCGAGACGGAGCACCGTTCCTACACCTACTAGAGACACCACCAACATTTGGGAGCTCTTTACGTTTCTGCCACAAAGTACATAAAAATTTCTTGCACATCTTATCCCCGTCCTCTAGGGCCTCTTGTGCCCACCATCTATCCCCAATTATCGCGATCGTTTTTTCGCTGTTGTCTAATTTACCAAACTTGTCCATGTCACACCCTCTCTGTCTCATTTCCTCCTCGAGATCCTCTCTTTCCTTCCTGCACAACTCACACTCCCCAACTATGTGGGGTCTACTCTCCTCCGATTTGCCACATGGACATGTGTGTCTATCCTCCTCTTCCTCTCTCCTACGGCTGGTATACCTCTTCCTCCGTTCTGGCAAGTCCAGATCGCCTATTCGAAATTGCAATTTCAGCTTTTTCGCGTAGTCCATGGGGCCGTCCAAGTACGTCTTCATCCCTATCCCTTCTTTCAACTTCCCGTATATCTCCAAGTGGTCTTCGCTTCGTACCTTCTTCCGAAGGGTTGCCTCCTCCCTACTTTCTAGCATCTCCTTGACTTTCGTCTTGAACCCCCCGAACCCTTCCGTGTCCAACGTCTCCTCCTCGTCTCCTATCTCCTTCCAAACCTTCCCTACCACCTTGTCCCATCTAATTCCCTTCTTCCCTAGAGTCGCTTTTCCCCAAGCTGCCTTGTCAACCATGGCTGGTAGTCTATCGTCCGACATTCTACTTACCTTGTACTGCCAATTCAACTTCTGCATGTCTCTCTTTGTTTTGAGAGAGTACATTCCCAATTCTGCTCTCAATACAGTGTTGCTCGTTGTACTTGAACATCCTAATATTTCTTGGCCGCTGCCATCTGCACCGTTTCCAGCTGCTTGACGGCCTATTCGTTACCTTCCCACACCTCTCCTGCATACTCTAGCTTAGGTACAATCACATTCAAGAGAATATACACCTCTTAATCCTAGTGTCTAGGTGTGGGTCCGTAAGGATCTCGTCCATCTTGCCTCTCTGAGCTTTACCCTTCCCAATCAACTTCGCTATGTGTGCGTCCCATGAGCACTCCTTCGAAATCTCTACTCCCAGGTACGTATACTTGTCTACTACCGGTAGTTCTTCCTCCCCCCATTTCCATTTGAATTCTACGGGATTTTTCTTATCTTCGTTACAGACCACTACTGCGCATTTTCCTACGTTCGTCGACAGTCTCCATTTTCGGGTGTATCCTACCGCCGCATCTATTTGTTCTTGCAACCCTTCTGGTGTTTCGGATACCCCCACGAAATCATCTGCAAACATCAGTCCGGACACACTCTTTCCCTCTACTTGGACTCCCTGTCTTACTGCTTCAACCGCCCTTATCAAATCGTTGATGTAAATCTTAAAAAGAGTGGGTGACATCGTACAGCCCTGTGCGACTCCTTGGAGTATATCCACGTACTTCGAAATTTCCCCATCCAACATCACCGCACTTCTTGTGCATTCTGTCATCTTTTTCAACATCCTCCACATTTTCCCCCGGATGCCGATGTCCCACATCTTTTTCCACAATCCATTGCGCCATACGGTGTCGTAGGCTTTTTGTATATCGAGGAAGAAACAGTATGTCGTACGCCCGGCGTCTTTCCTACCTTGGATGATTTTACTCAACGTATATACATGGTCTACACAACTGCGATCTGGTCTAAATCCAGCTTGTCCTTCGCTGATCTTTTGTTTCCCCTCCAACATGTCTCCCATTCTATTGTCTATCATCTTGCCAAACAGTTTCCCCACTGTGCTCAACAGGGTTATCCCTCTATAATTCCCCGGGTCAGCTTTATCCCCCTTTTTGAACAGGTTCACGACTACTCCTTCTCTCCATCTCTTCGGCGCGTACTCGTGTTTCCATATCCAGTTGAATATCCGGGGGGGGGGGGGGGAATTTATGGGAGGGCGGGTGGAATGAAGGAAAGGCGGGTGGAAATTAATCCTTCCGTCCAAAGGGTACC